TTTCAATACAAAATTATTGCGTCTCGCTTGTTAATTAATCCGACGATACGCTTACCTTCTCGCTTTTCGTGAAGTCATGCAGTGGTTTATTGCAGAACGATACTTTGTCAATGCCGAGTTTCTCTCTCAGCAACAGTGTGTGCCGCATTCTCTCTACCTCCTCTAACCTTGTTAGCTTCTCCAGCTCCCACTGATGATCGAATATGAGACTGTCTCCTCGTGGTCTCCATCCGTGCAAGTTCTCCTCGCCTCTGACGTATGTAGAACTCGTATCCAAGACGCGACGTTGACGTCTTTGAACTCCTGTAAGTAAACAGGAGAGGGGAAGAGGGAAGGCAAAGGGTGTTGAGGAGAGGGAAAGAGCCCAAAATGTAAGTAAATGTAAACGTAAAACCATTTCTGTTTAGAAAATAAAAAATTCCTTCCCACACTTAAGGATGACACTATGATCGTTTTGACTTCGAGATAATGAAACTTTACATTAATGCAAAAGGAAAGCTTTTAACTTAATGTAACAAGGAATCGCTAAAAAAATATATTTTCAAAATATATTGTTAGGTAATATTCAGGTGATGATACGGGTATGCGCTGCATGAAGATAATATAAATTGAAGTAAAGTTTTCATACAGAGAGTTTCACTTTGGGATGATATTAAGCGAGTGAACATGGGACTACACTATGGTTAGACATAACAAACCTGGGCTACCTGCTTCCGAAGAACGACGCAGGACCAGCTCGTAGACACCGCTGAGTCGATTTGCCTCCTGGTTGCGATAACTGCCGCTAAACAGATGTTTCAGCGAGCGTGGGCCGACTCTAGCATCTCTTCCGTAGATAATCATGCTGAGATCTTTCGTGATGATCGCAGGTCTTCCGCAATTTTCCAGCTGAAATCATTGCGAACATCGAAATAATAAAAATAAAATGGACTGCCTTCAGATATTATTTTCCCAAAATGAAACAATACCTACCTCGAGATACGCTGAGATGGTCATGAAGATCTGCTCTCCATAAGATGTGACGCGATTCAGCAGAGTTGAATTGTGGAGCGAGCTGTCCCATGCTGCCTCGAATCTGAACATACATCGGTCGTCGCCAGGAACTTCGAGATATTCACCTGGGAACAAGCCCAACGAGAGCACGGACGAGTCATTGTCCTCCTCTTCGGGCTCCGGAGTATTTCGGATACGGCCGACAACGAGCTCGCGTACGTCCTTCCATCTCAATTCCGAAGCCGGTTCGTGCACGATGGTGATGCGAATACGCCGCTGTATACCTTGGTGAAGTAAGAACAGCCCGCGACACGGTAAATCGTCGCTGTGGTCCACCACGGACGGCACATACTCGCCGTTCGGCGCTAACTCGCAGATTTCGAACCACACCAGTACGTCATATTTGGCATGTACGTGAGACGTGCTGGGAGACGGCAAGACGCTGCCGAATTTTGGTGAACGCACCGGCTGGCTGATCGGTATGGATGGCGGAAGCATCCTCTTCGGTGGTTGTCGTACGCTGTAATATATACGACATGTTTGCGAAATGTTTCTTATAATAAGATTTCATTAAATCAAGATCAACACTTACTATTCCAGTTTCGCGTCTTTGTGCAACGGATGTTGCTGATAATGACCGAACACCTCGAAGACGATAGGTTGTGTCTTCAAATACTCCAAGAAAGATTTGGTGACTGTGACTGTAATCTGTAGAGATCATATCGATCAGTGGGATCTCATTTGAATAAAAACTGAGCTTTCTCTTGTAGGATCTCACTTACATTTTGTACATGATAAAATCCAGGTGGATTGCCTTTGCCTGTATTCTTCACTGGTTCCGTTGAGAAAGCTTCGTCATGTCGATGCAAGAAACTGCAAGGACACCATCACGTTACAGTCGTCTTGAAATAAGCCGAGATAAAAGCGTCGCGTGTATACTTACTTAAATTGACAGAAAATGTCGGCGTATTCTGTGGAAATACCCATAGCTTGTAGAACCGTTACTCTGAAAGTAAACTCCGCGCCAGGTTGTAGATGATCCGGCAAATCCTCCTCCTTCATGTCGCTCGAAACCGAGCTGTCGCCTCTGCCGCTATCGGCGTCTCCCATGTCATCCTCGTCCTTCATGTCCTTCTGTACCTCATTGTGTCCCTCAACCACACGCTCTTCGTGCAACATGATCTGTCGATTCTTCTCCAAAGTTTGGGCCAAAAGCGTGTTACGTTTATTATGCTTTTGCCCGCCGAACAGGTCATCTTCGAAGGAAATTCGTGCTGATTGTCTAACGCCACTTGAATATTCGCTGTTTTCCTCTTCTGGAAGAAGGGTTCGTTATGTACGTCTTACGAGGACTCCAAGCTCAAGGATATAGCGACGGTTTACGTACCGACTACGGCTTGTACAGCGACTCGCAGGTAACCTTTCACGTCACCCTTCTCATTCACAATGGCGACCTTGTGGATCAGTGGCACTGGATACATGAGGTTGCTCAGATACACGAAGGATCTTAAAGTCGACACAAAGTCACATCAATACAATGGCGAGTAAGAATGAGCAGATACGCGAAAATATTTATTAGATTCTTATTCACCTGCCAACCATACGAAACCAAGGGAATCGGTCATAGAATGGATCACCTCCGTTGATGGACTCGACATTGTAATCCGGAGATGTAGGCGAGAGCTCGGCCTCGTTGTGATACATCTCGCGCATCAGTTCCAATCTTTGTCTGCAAGATTGACAAAATCGAGAATTTATATTACGGTTTCTCTGTCGACAAGTTACGTAAATGTGATTACAACTCTCTCGTGTGCTTTATCCATTGAAAAATTTGTCTGGTTCGGTCTTCAAACGCATCTCTCTTCAGATAGTCCGAATATCGACCGACATCTTTTGCTTTTCTCACACGCATTCGTTATATCCGAACACAACGTAACTCACATGAAAAAAAAAAGTAACATCTCCAAACACATATCTTCTCCTATCGAAGATATCTTTATTCTTGCAGTGCGTTGATATACGTCATTCGACATTCAAATGAGCGTTACACGATAATTATCATGGTAATAAGCATTTATGCTTGTTGTATGATGTAAAATTTTCGAGGTCCCTTTACGCACGTTACTTCGTGTCTTGATCGCTTCCTCAATCGAATTGTATTGCAGGTCTGATATACGTGCATATAACAAAGTCAGAAAGCGAGAGAGAGAGAGAGAGAGAGAGAGAGAGAGAGAGAGAGAGAGAGAGAGAGAGAGAGAGAGAGAGAGAGAGAGAGAGAGAGAGAGAGAGAGAGAGAGAGAGAGAGAGAGAGAGAGAGAGGGAGAGAGAGAGAGGGGGGAGAGAGGGGGAGAGAGGGGAGAGAGAGGAGAGAGAGAGAGAGAGAGAGAGAGGAGAGAGAGAGAGAGAGAGAGAGAGAGAGAGAGAGAGAGAGAGAGAGAGAGAGAGAGAGAGAGAGAGAGAGAGAGAGAGAGAGAGAGAGAGAGAGGAGAGAGAGAGAGAGAGAGGAGAGAGAGGAGAGGAGAGAGAGAGAGAGAGGAGGAGAGAGAGAGAGAGAGAGAGAGAGAGAGAGAGAGAGAGAGAGAGAGAGAGAGAGAGAGAGAGAGAGAGAGAGAGAGAGAGAGAGAGAGAGAGAGAGAGAGAGAGAGAGAGAGTGAGGACACGAGCTCAGCGGAAGATGATTGAAAGATGTGTCGGTGTTTGAGACAGACGTGCACGAAATGTGAAAATATATCATTTTTGTTTGGACTGTTTTTCTCACATTCAGACAGCATAGAGCAATGTTCACAGCAGCAGAAGCGGTGCTGCGTAAACGATGGCGTATTTTTTTTTTTTTGCGAAAGAAGCTCGTACACATGTCTATTCGATTGTTCCGATCGACGTTATTACGCTATGAATTGAAAAACCATGCAAGATCCATCGATTCATAATAGACTTTTGGCGAGCTCCAAGTGCAAAGCTCGTTTCTCTCGTGTATCGCACTCAAGAGGATGAACATTGCCACATACGTATCGAGGAAGTCTCTCCAAGATAAAAAAAAAGAACGGGAGAAATGCGCGGCGACAGAACGACTTTTGCACCAGTTAAAGGATTCCTCGAGGCTGGGCGTATAAAAGCGTGTTGTTACATATGGCGTTAAAGAGAGGAGAGCCTCGCGCGTTCGAGCACCAACCTCGAAGGCAAAAGATTTGCGAGCGAGAACTTCGGATTAGAGTAGACTGTAAGGCATTGGAAAATATCCTCTTTGGCCTCCGGAGTGCTGGGGCTCGAGTCCTCGTTGTACACGTGTCGCATCAGCTCCAAGCGCTGTCTATAAGTCAACATGTATTACTCGCGTGAGTGGGCTGTGCGTCCGCTGCCAGTTTCTACCCGATTTTGTTCTAACAAATAAGCTGCGAGATTTCTCTCTTTTGTCTCGGCTCGCTAAGGTAATATTATATGGTTCCGCGAGCCCAAAGCAAGTTTGAACGTCTCTCATAAAGACATTTGTGTGACGTGCCTAGCAGAATCTTTCGTCATCTCACGCCAACACACACGTTACCGTGAGTATCATTACGAAAACATGTGTTTAATCTCCAATACGATCCATATAATTTTCGATAAAATCGCGATCCTCTCATTAAAGTAAGGTAAGATATGTACTCGTGCATCGGTAACGAAATAAAAAAGAAATTGTCGAAGGTTGTATGGAAAGGCTTATACTTCACTTACAGTGGTCAGCATTTGATCGACAACGATATAAAACATGCTACATGTTGGATGTATAAATTTAGCGTGATACACAAAATGTCCCGAAATTCGCGTTTTCAGAGAACAAAAAATTAAATAATAAAAGTCTTTGTGACTTTTAATTTCAAGCAGGTGTTTCTCGAAATACGAGAATTTAAAGGCCAATCACATATCACGGTTGCACAGTCGCCTCTTCGTGAATCAAAAAAATATTGAATCAAAGAATATTATCGTACGTGCAACTCACGAATAGACGATTATGCATATATATATATATATATATATGTACAAAATGTAATTATCGTTTAATTACAAGGCTACTTCATAGATAGTATTATCGATTTTTCCTAGGACGTGAATGCTATAAGAAAGTAGCAATGGAATTGTTTTCTTCTTAATAAAACACATTCCTTTCTTCTCAGGAATATTCTGTAAATAAATATAATCCCGATTGTAAGATTCAAAGTACACATAGAAGGCAAACCTTAGCTTGTCTAGCGTCCAGTAATGCGTGGCGCCGTTTTTCGTGTCTTGAACCTCAACAGCAACGATGGTGCGCGGGAACGGCCTCTCATCTTCCTCCTCGTCGTCTATGACGGGTAAAAGTTCCAGTGGTAGCGGTGAGTAAAGGGTATCCGTGAGTAACGTGAATTGGAATTGAACCTGGAAGAGAAAACCGATGAAATCAAATTTGTCACCCTACGGTGAATAAAAATGCTTTCCTCGTTAATATCCTCTTTTTATAGAAATATTACGGTTTTCACGGCAGTTGCCGCTTTCGCGTTAAGTACTCGCGGCATCTGCGCCGCATAGGGATGTCGTTAGTCTCGAAAAAATGCGTAGACATGTAGTACGCATGCGAATCGTACGCACAGACATTATTAACCACGAGGTAAGGGATATACGATATACGAAAAAAAAGAAAAAAAAAAAAAATTCATATCCGAAAATACGTGAGATATGGTGCAGAGGTGAACACAAGTCAAAGAAGCCGTGCGAAAATTTGGCACTGTACGTCCGCGACTATACCTTCTTCTTTAGTTCAACGGATATGGCATTAGCCTCTTTAAGGAATATCGCGTTGCCCCAAAGATCGTCCCGTAAACTCGTGAATTGGTGATATTTCCACTTGCGGAAGGCCGAAGCGGCCAGTTGAAACTCTCTCTCGGTCCAGTTGCTCTCTGCGTCAAACAATGGGTTGACTGAAATGCAAGCCATTACCAGGCAAAACAGTCAGAGAAGCCAAGCATTTGAATAGAATGCCGATTAACTTCGATTAAGAAAATGTGCTATGTCCTATCGACGAGTAATCATTTAGATAACGTCGCATGCAGTAAGGACTTGCGCGTTTCAACGTGTGTGTGTGTGTGTGTGTGTGTGTGAGAAAGAGAGGAAACTTACGAAAAGATTCAAAAATTACGTTACACAAGGTAGAACACGCCTGATCGATCGGGCATGGTTACACCGAAATTGAGTTCGAGAACCAAAAAAGCAACTAGTTTCTATACTCACCGAAAATATCCTCCTCGATGTTGTTGAAATCTTCCGGCGTATAACTGCTGTACATAGACATTGTCATACTCTGCTCCTCCACCTGCCTCTGCAACGCGTCTATCCGCGCTTCATAGTTCTGTTCATAGAAGCGATCGATCACGAAATAATAATTAAAAGAATGAGCCACGTATATACATACGTATGTATATTCATGCAACGCACCTTTCGTTGTTCTTCAAACAACTGATCAGCCTCCTCCTTCTCCTTGCGGAATTGCTCTTCCAACACGAGCAATCTCTTCTCCATTTCAGCCTTCAGATCAATACCCTGATTTTCGAGCAACTCGACCTGTGCGAAGTCCCAGTCTGCGGTCTCGCCGTTGCCAGGTGTTTCCACCGGGGATCCCTTTTCTCTTCGTTCGCGCACTATACGATTGTACAAAGAATGTACGATACCTTAATTAGTACGCTAGTTATGTTCTCATGAGCATCTGTAATTGATCAAGCCGCTCGGAATGTCGCAAGTACACACCTTGATCTGGATGATTGAATCGGAAAACGTGATTCTTCCCTAGAATCACGCGCGAACCGGTCGTCAGAGTGAGCGGCTCGGTCACCTCGCGACCATTCACATAGATCAGAGCTCCGTTCTTCGGTATCAGTGTTATGATACCCTCGTGATTCTCGAAAACGCAGTGCTCGCTGAGTATATGCGGGCCGCACAGTTGGATATCCTGCGGTATATTCGCTTCGGCGCTACCGATGCGCGTAAACCCGTCTTTGATGTAATAAATCAAGCATTCCGACATGAGCGGGTCCTCGTTCAAGTTTACCAAGTGCGGCGTCTTCTTGGGGGAGAAAACGCCCACTGTGACACCGTCCTCCTTCACGGCAACTCCCATCTCAGCGAACACCGCCTCGCGTTGCAGGCGAATCGATTCGGTCCGCTTCAACTTCTCCTCCCATGTTTCATTTAGTTCTGCAACGCGAAGTAGAACGCGATAAGTGAAAAGTGATTACGAGGACTGATTAATGTGATTGTCTGTAACGTAGCGAGTAACAGAAACGGTGAACAGAAATCAGGCTCGCACGAGTAACGCGTCATGCGCAGTTTTACCTGCGATCAATTTCTCAGAAGCCTGCAATTGATCCACCGCCTCCTCGGCAAGAGAAGATGTAGTATGAGAAGGAATTCTCGACCGGCTTTCTTTCACGTCCTCTTCGCGCTTGTTCGTTCTGACAATCTCGTCTCCTGCAAGATGAGAATCGTTAAGATCCGAGGGAAGGATCGTAACATGTTTAAACGGCAAGCCTGGGTCAGAGTCGGTACCGTGTGTCGCGGTATAAACACCGAAAGCCATAATTAAAGCAGTGGCGCAGGTGAAGAGAAGTATTCCAGAAGCTGTAGAGTTCGAATTGTGGCTACAGTAATTCTCAAAGCGGTAAAGACGTAGAACTCGGATAAACTAATTGATGCTTCTTTGTGAAGTACCGGCGTAGTCTAACGTGTACAAGCATGATCACTATATGAATGTGTATCACACTGTTCAATATCTATTATATGCATTTTTCTTCATCTTATAAATCCGTCAATTTACGGCGCCTTTATTATCACATTGTCTGCCAACTTCATAATTCTCATTCTTTACTTTTTCTTCTTTTTGAACGATCGCTTTTATAAACGAAAGCATAAATAGTTATTGATTTATGCAGTATTGAGTATCTCGTTGGAATTTTGATAACCTACGAAAGCTACTAAATTGTACCGGATATGAGAGAGGGAACGCAATAGGCATTAACGGAACAGATACGTACATTAAATGAGAGGGAAAGTAAACTCGCGAAGCAAATGTGTGTAAAATCAATGAAATTGACAAACACACCATCGATATGTATTTATGCGCTTAGCAGTGAAATAAGCGCATAGACAAAAAACCAAAAAATTATGAGATATCTAAGAAAGAGGCGCAAAAAGATGGACGATGCCTGTCCTGGCTGTAGTTCTTTGCTGTATGGATTGTTAGCATTTTCTTTTTACTTACTAGGTTCTTTCTTTTCGTACGTAACTTTGCCATCTGGCCCTACGTCGAGCGCAAGGGAAACAAAGAACAAAATACTATATAAATGGATTGCCTATCGCGCGCGTTGCATAATTACAATTAATTTATAACGGCCGAGAGTTCGCATTATAACGCAAGCGCTGGTACCTGAATACTTTCTACATAACGTAGACGTACTTTCAAAATATATAAGAAACACTGGGCAGTTGATAATTTGCGATAACAGATAAAATAATAAGCAAAAAAGTGGGTCATATATCTACGATGATAATTAATTATATGTAAATATATACATATATATGTACATTCTATAAATTCATTAAATAATCCTAAGAGAAATCGTATTAACATCCAAATATTTATAATTGTCAGTCAATCTGTGAAATTTTATTTAACCTGTCCTCGCCTGTATGTTTTTAATAAAAAGATCTTTCGTAATCTGATTCACACATCGAAATTTTAACGATTCCGAACCTTGTAAAAAATTGTATCTTTAATTTACCTTCTTGCACGTCGATGCCCTCTTGCTTTAGAAGTTCCCGCAATTTCTGAATTTCCTCTTTAAGTTCTCTGATAAGTCTGGCATTCGCATCCTCGTTAACCACGGCCTTGCAAACGATCTGTTTCGCTCTGTCCGCGTATCTGTGAATGCAAAAGGAAAGATTCCTCAGGTCAGGACACAATTAAAGGTTTCTGCTTAAAAGAAAAAGGAGCTCTTCGCGCGCGGGAATAAATTCGAAAAAATACATAATGAAGAATCTTACCGTAGGGTTGAAAGGGTCTCGTCATAATTAATATCCGCAGGGCTGACCGCCGCGATCATAGCAGTTTTCGAATTTCCTCCCAAGTTCTCTCGTAATAACCACGTTAAAACGGAGTCCCTGTATGGAATGAAGTCGGCTTTCTTCTTCTTCTTCGTCGCCTATGAGAAAATGAAACATTTCGAGGGCAATTACTACTACTGATTCACCGTTTAATATTGAATAATTTTTTATGCTTTAGTATTCTATTAATATTCTCCGTCTAACTTACCGCCTGACAATCCATATGAAAGTAGTGAAAGAACGTAATAGTGATATCAATATACGATATATTCGATACATATATTTGAATTAACGCGACAGGATACTTACGATTTCGGCGAGAGCACTAATAACTTTCCCGAGAGTAGTTAAACTCTTGTTAATGTTAGCTCCTTCCTTCAAGCGCGTTCCTTTTGCACCCGTCGAGTCGGCTCTCTCAGATCCCGCAAGATCAACCAGCGATATCTTGCTGACTTTTTCTGTTACTAAACCAGTAGCACCATCCTGTTGCTGTTGTGTGAAGAATATCGTGAAAACTGCATGTGATCTGCTGGAAGTCTCATTCATGTTGGTTGCTGCGACAGTCCTGGAACAAGATCACGATATATTTTTAGCACACGTATCAAACCGCATGTCATAAATATAATTTATACGAATAATTGCCGTAAGTAGCAACAAATACTAACCTGGCCTTGTTACCTTCGTCTATAAGATCGTGGATATCTTGATACGACATTACAGCCAACTTGGAAAGATCCTCGACGTAAGGGCCCAGGAGAGGGTGCTCTCTCACTCGAAGATTTCCTCTGTTCTTTGGGTTCAGCAAGTCACGCACTCTTTCGCAGTATATTTCCATATAACTCACTTCTACCGAGTACTTGAGCCGTTCGTTGGATGTATAGCTGATTTTCCTAAACAGGTCCTTGCAAATCTGTGGTATAATTCCCTCTTGTCCTTCCTCCTGCTTCCCCATCATGGTGTAAGATTTACCGGCGCCGGTTTGACCGTATGCAAAAATGCAAACGTTGTAGCCTGCGTCACGAAATGAGATCAGATCAGATATTATTTCAAAACGTCGTCGCGTCATGTAAATCCTAAGAGAAGCTTAGACCTTTCGAAATACAATTTTCACCTATCTAACAATTGTAACATCTCTGATATCGGTCATTAAAGGAACTATAATATCTACCTTCGAAAGCATGTACCAACATTTCTTCACCAATATCCTTGTAAACCATGAGCTGAGACGAGTAGTTCTCGTCGTTTGGCTGCAATATTGCGATAAATTAAAATCACCGAATATATATATATATATATATATAACGAAATATCGTCTTAATATTTACCGAGAAGAGAAACTACACTTACATCCATAGAAAAGTAGGAATAATCATAATTGAAGCTTTTGACTGCATCTTTGCTTCCCGGTGTGGCTTTAGGGTTCATTATGGCTATAACACGAGAAGGTAATCGTTCGAATGCTGCTTCATACGGCAAATTAATATTGCAGATTTCACACGTCAGAAACTTACAAGTGGTATTTCCCGTCATTTCTATAATACATTGTGCTTCGCGACGAATCTCCCGACTATTGAAGGGTCGTACCCTCACCGCCACTTTAACCGACGACATTTTGCTCTAATATTTTTCTTCTTTCAAATCAACGTCGGGCAAAACCGACGGCGGTGTCGGCGAATTCCCTTTCGTTCGTCTCTCTGTAATAAGATCGGGTCGTGCGATTATTACATCAGTGTGTTATCGATTTCGTCGACTGCTCATAAGTTCAGATTGATCGTCAGGTGGGAAAGCGACTCCCACAATCGCTTATAGAAAGTTCCTAGATAAGCAAATCGTGTTAATTGTCGACACAAACCATCAACACAAGTGTCTAAATGTTCATTTCACGTTTCCACGACCTTACACAGGTACACCTTTCAGGTACAAACGATGTGACGAAGAAACGTTACATTCCAGGGAGACATTTCTTTTACGAGGTCAACCCCACGATCGACGCGAGAACACCACCGATCACTATATACACCTTAAAATAGCATAACGTGTCGTGAGCACGCAGAAGCTTCAACATTATTCGAGTTCAATATATGGGATGCTTGGCAATTGAGCATCGAGTTACGTCGTACGTGAGAATCAAGCGATAAATGTCCGTGTACTGCTCTTGGAAAAATAGTATCGAAAGCGAAAAAATTGGAATAGTAAAGAAAAAACAGGGACGGATAAGAGACGAGCATTTCACAATTGTACGCAGTAAAGTAGTGCATTACGAATTTAGACATGGCGCTGCATGGGGGATAGCGAAGTACGCGCAACGCTCACACAACTTTAATTGTTTCCTGGTCCATCAGTCGCACACTTTCCGAGGCGAAACTACTATGTATGTACGCCATCATATCTCCAGGAGTCTATAGAGATCAGTGGAAAACACCATCGGTAGTAGCGGTGGCGATGGCGGCAGCGGCGGCGAAATCGATACGACGACGGCGTCCGAGTACTCGCGGAAGGTCCGGAAGACGGGCGGAGGCGAGGAACAGTGCATAGTGTATATGTGGATTTTTACGATCGATCGTCCATGTTCACGGAGGAAACGACGGCGCTTACCTTCGGCGCTATTCGCGTGAACGTGATTTTTCACTTTTCGAACTTGACGAAAGGCGAAGAGCAGGAAACGGAGTTGAAGGAATAAGCCCTCGACTATGGCCGAGGGTCCGACTGAACCGCCGTGTGTAACATATATCCTAATACGAAGAGACACGCGAGAAAAATTGCGAGACCGGACGAAAGTCGCGGCACACTGCCCCTCGCTGTTGCGCACGCAATGCTCTACGTTGTCGACTATCTCCCGGCGGTCACTACATCGGCCATCCCTTGTGTGAACTACGATCCACAAAACCCTCGAGCCCGACGTAAGCGGACATTATAGCGCGTTCGCCCACGTAACACTCACGCGTGTACACCCGCGCATGCATACGCTTTCGCACGGACGCTTCGGGAGTTATCCTGCCTGCCGCACAATCGAAAGCGAGCAGTTACTTCGCCGTTGCAACCTCACCACCCCCGGTTGCCCGTGGCGAGTGCTGACGACGTACACCGCGAGCGCCTGCGTGTTGCTCCGTCTACCCTTCCATCGTTCTCGTCGTCGTCGTCGTAGTCATCATCGAAGTCACTGTCGTCATCGAGAACGCGACTAGGTGTCTAGGATAAAGATGCTTCGGTTCAGTAGGCTACTTCTACCCCTTCGTTCTCAAGATCGCGCGACTATATCGACATTTCTCGGTGCTTCTCGAAGAAACGTCCTATATGTTGCGTCCTAGGATCCTAAGGAAAAAATTCACAGACAAAAGATGTATATAGAAACGTTAAAACAAAAGCGCCGTCGAGGACCGCTGAGAAAATTGGAAAAGTCTGCGTGTAGAAATCCTGCGACCCTTTCCAGAAGGGCGCACAACCTTCTCTCGTCTCCCGTGAGAGAGCTTCATTCTCGCGATTAAAAAAAAATATTTTGCGCGTTTGAAATGTTCGATATTAAACGAGTAAAAATACCTGTAGCCTATTAAACCGAAGCATCTTTCATCGCACCTCCTGTTATCCTCAAGTTATCGCGCTATGTTTCAATGAGGGAAGGAGGGAACCCTGTACATGTGTCGCACGCGCGTAAGCGATTGTAAGGGTTGGCATATTCGTTGCGCCACACGCGCAACTGCGAGCTCATCATTTCCTTGTCTGACAACACGCAGGGTGAAACGAAGATTCCGTCCGTACAGACCGGACGCAAATATCCCCTACGGAAAGCACGTGCGCCGTCTTGTATCTTTGACACGATGCCTACAAAATGTTCTCAGATCAATCTTCTGCATGTTCTTTTACGTCTTACCGTTTCCTGCGATACATTTTAACTTCGCATTTAAACATAACAAATTAGCCGAGTCACTCGAATAAATCGGTCCTTCTCGAAAACCAAGCCCCAATTCATTGTTCTAGCGCGGTATCCTGATCTTTCCAATCTTGTATCATGCCAATTATGGGAGCATTGCACATTTAAAAGCTAAAAAAATACAAAGAAGTTTAGAAAAAATATAAAGCGTTCCGAAAGCTTTTGCACAAAATCAGAGATTGACTCTCAGAGAATGGATGTGAAAATGCTTTTAATTCGAAACGATCAGCCCATGAAAATCTTTCCCTCCCTATCGCGCTACACAAGGGTCCCCAATATTTTTACGGCGATGCATGATACGACGTAAATGGGAGGATTACAGAAAGATCTTCGCACTGACGCACGCATATTTAGGAAATTGGATATGAACGTAATTTTCATTTCCGATGAAGATGCGTTTAGTCAATTTCCCGACAACGTCACACATGGGTACATTCGACCTGAGTTTCCGCGTGAATCATCCGCCAGCAGGAAGTCCTATCTGGGAAAACGAAGGAATTCGTATCTCTTCGACGAAAGGTCAGCGCGCAAGGAGATGGGGTGCGTGGGTGCGCCGATGTGCACGATTGGTCATCCCAAGTTGAATCTCTCTCTCCCCCCTCCCTGCCCTCTCTCTCTCTCTCTCTCTCTCTCTCATGCGACGCTTCGAAGCCATTTAATTGCTGCCCCCTTCAACGGCTTACCTCGAAGAATGAAAAGGGACGCGCGATCGTACGTCACCCCCACGTTCCTCTACTGCGATTCGATCACGGCTTTCGCCGTCGAAGTCGCGCGTCTCCACCTAGCTCTTCCTACAAGGCTACCACCAAGCGGCATCGCGGCACCGGCGTAGCACTACAGAGAAGGTGGTGGTTGAATTTGAGTCAACGTGGCCAACGACGTTACATATACATACAGAGAGAAGCTCAGACAGGCGCGACGCGTTGCGTCGCGCGAAGGGGGGTGACGGGGGGTGCGCGCGTCGATCGACAACACCGTGGTGGTCCAGGGCCGTGTCTGGCCGCTTTCTCCGTTTATGAACCAATCGCGTAGCGCCTAGGAGGAGAAAATCAATAACTCGCGAAGGCACACGGGGGTGACGTCAGCCTGCAACCCGACGACGATCGACCGATGCGACGCAGGCGGCGCCGGCCAATCTCCACGGACCAATCAATAAGTAAAGATACCCACGAACGTCGCCGATGGTACCGTGCGCATAGATCGCAGGAGCAGCAGCAATAGCAACAGCAACACTGGCAGCAACAGCACTGCCAAGGATGAGATGGTGAGCCAACACGCGCTCATTCCCTCAAGATGATCTTCCTCTCTCTCTCTCTCTCTCTCTCTGTCTCTTCGATATCGATCAAGTATACAAAAATCGTCTCCTCGCCGCGCGTGGCGACACTACACGGGGCCGCCCCGAGGGCCGAATTATTGACATGTAACGCGTCCCAAGGAAACTGACATGACACCTGATCACTTTCGGCAGGAGTGACGGGGACACTTCTGAAAACAAGATCTCGAGTTTGTAGATGAAATAGAGGAAACGAGTAAATTATTCGCAATTGACCTGTTCTTCTTATAGAATCGTCGAATGATGAGAGTTCCCTCAGAAGAAAATTCAATTCGACGTCGTCCGTTTTAATCAATCGTTTTAACGACTGATTAAGAATTAATGAGACAGGCTTCTAGGTTTCTACATTACAATAAAATCTGTTAAATTTGCACGAAGAATAAAGTTTCATTATTTAACGCAATACTCGTGACACGCAATTTAATCATAATGGAAAACCAATGCTCCGTAACAGAATGCTGGAAAACCGAAGCAGATAATTTTAGCTATCACTTTGCAGCTAATTTAGAGTGATTTTGATTGTCGAAAATGTTATTGGCCGCTACCTATTTTCGAAATTTCATCTTTAACGTCGGATGTTCGAACATAATATTTTTACTCAAGATCTATTCAAGATTAAGATAGATTGAAACATGAAGAACAATAAGCTCTAACCTCATTACCCTCTACATTAACCATTCTCAACCATCACTGACATTTTCCTTACGAAGCGATCATATCTAAAACTTACCAAATAATTCGAGAAACAAAAAACTGCAAAATATGAAGCACCATACCATCTCCTCCACTCTTCATCGCAAAAGATCACCACAGAGCACATGAAATATTATTCTCCTTCCATATCCAAGTATAACAAAGTGATCATGGCCGGCTCCATTCCGATACATCGGCACATATATACGCGCAAGAAGAACCTTTTATTATTCCCTGTGATAAGTGACATTCTACGAATTTGATACGCCGATCTTTTCTCAGAATTAGTTTAAGAAATTCAACCGCGAACGACAAGTTACAAATTCATTTGAATGAATCGAAGATGAAGACAATCTGACAACCAAACTTCCTGAAGTATCGGTTTGTTAACAAGTTAACCAGCACGTTTCACTTCGATCATCACTGACCTACCCTCTCGTCCTTCGTTTATGTCCTTCGGAGTATTGTCCACCATTTCTGACCATTCTGCGAACCCTTCAGTTATCATCGTATATACGAGACACTGGTAAGAACAGCGAGACTGTTTCATCGCGAAAATTCATGTTTATGTTTGCTAGATAAGCTTCCGAAGAATCACCCTTCTTCGAATAAGACGTCCAAGGATATGATTGTACGAGTAATTAAGACTCTCGATCGAATCGAAAGACTAGTTCGGTGTCTCTTTTGTCGCTTTTGTCGCGATACGAGAAGATATTCAATCTTTTATCCTTGGTAAGCTGAGAACCCAGGTGTATCAGGCGATAAATAATGAGCGAATATACGAACCGATAATTGTGAGAAGCGACGAGGCGGAAAACAGCTGTGATTAAAAACAGATGATTGGCTCGACATAATGGCGAAACAGGGGATCGGCCTTTCTTTCATTGTCACGTCAATATGGAAACAATCAGATTAACAGACTCTAGTGAGAATAATGTGACGTTCTTTTTTGTTCTCTAACCTTGCTATTTCTCCCGTTGCCCGCATCGAACCTCGTCCCTGTTGAAGGTGAACGAAGAACGTTTCAGTATTGTAATTAACTAAAGGCCAAAGTACAAACGGCGTGTACGATCAATCGTGTTCATCAATCTTTATCGTGTACAAATCCACCGTATGCGTAAATTATCATACCTATTCGTCGTTCTGCTATCTCACCCCTGTGCTTCAATCCTCGAGGCAACGCGAATCGTTCGAATCTACGCCGCCGTGACCGGCCACTTCTTCGCACCACTGATCACGAAACTGCAAACAACTGCCGACAATCAGAGGTTCGCACAATTTACGAAGAGAAATCCGAAATACCAGCTGATACTGCGATGTCGGTAAATTTCACAATACGTTTTCCGAAGAAAGCCGATCGTATCGGTCTCATCCTGAGCAACCTTGCGAACATCTCCACATTAGAGCGTGTGCTAATTAACTCGTAATCGTTTTTCGATTTAACGCACTTTCGAGCGCCATTTTTCAACGACCATTTTTACTCGAGGGGTATAATTTAAAACTCGAACATTGAAGATGGCGATCGAGCGACCTCTGCACAATGCTCGTCACGAAATTAAAAAACGAGAGCGATCCGATCGCGCAATTTTTCCGAAAATGACAAACCAGGCAGACGGAGAAACATTTCGTTCCAGCAAAGTTTCTTTCGGCGCCTTCTTTCTATAAGATATGACGAACAGCACACGCTAAGGAGAAAGAGAAAATGAGGAAAAGAGAAAGGAGGAGAAAGAGAGAAAGAGAGAGAGAGAGAGAGAGAGGAGAGTGAAAGGGTGAGCAGGTTCGATCGCTCGGCGCGAGTGCTTCGAAGACGCTCGACGTCGTCGATAACGGCGGTCGTTTAAATAAGTAATCCGTACGTCGTGGCGACTCGCGCAACGCTGCGCTTCGTTCGGCGTTGCGCTAATAAAATACGCGATCGTGGGGATGACATACGTCGTATCTCTCTACATACCTCTGCACGTCGTGCTCGTCTCGCCCCGTCTTGTTGCCTCACCTCGCCCGTTGCATGATTCCGCGCGCGCGACGTAAACGGTAGCGCGAAAAACGACACGCGCGAGAAGACGTCCGAAACGCTGATCGCTCTGCAGACACTCACCAGATACGTAGGCAATGACGTGAAAACAGCTGAGGTGCTACGGCCATACTGGCTCCGTGACTCCACGAAGACGCTTCTCGGTACCGCCGAGCGTGCACGCCGAGCGTCGCGACGCCACTCGGCCCGATTTCTCCGCTGGCGGCGTCGTGTCGCATCGCTCCGCGCCGCGACGACGTTCTTGGGGGCGGTATATCCGATCGATTGTATCAAAGTCGTTGCCTCCGTCATACAACACAGGCCGCCACCAGCTTAGAACAGTCGTTCTTCTCTCATTTCGTTGTTACCGTCACCAACTCAAAAATGTTCCGTTGCATCCACACTTATAAACATATCACAAGTGCAGCTTTGAGTTGATACAACCGTGTGCACTCACGAACTTATCCTCGCTTTTCTGTACCAAGTGACAAAGACCGCGACATTCTCATGTGATAGATAAGAAACTTTAACTCTAATTTTCGACTCAGAACTCTATGACTCATAAACGTCGTTTGGCTAGTATCTGTACATATACTTTTATTGTGTAAAAAGTATACAAAGGATACTCAAATTCCTTAATAGGATACAACTTTAAAATAGATCTATAAAATAGTGGCATCCAAAAGACGGTTGGAATAATTACACACAATTATTGAACATTGTCACAAATTAAATGCTATTATTAATATTTTATTTCATTGTAAAACAAAATACAAAGTAAATCCTACTTATGCATATATTATACTTACTTTATGTGATATTCACTTGTAATTACATAAATCTGAGATATGGTATGAGGAAAATATTTATATAAATACAGAAAAACAAAATCACAGGTATTATCGAGCACAATAATAGAGCTCATGACATTTCGACCTTACAAAAGCACTGTCACTCTAAGTGACAATTCAGCATTTATAATATAAGTGCTGTCTTTCATCCTTCAACAGCCAGCAGCAGTTTTGAAACGTGCATTCACATCTTTCCAATTGACAATGTCAAAAATTGCTTTCACGTAATTAGGTCGTACGTTCTTATACTGCAAATAATAGGCATGCTCCCACACATCAATGCCAAAGAGAGGAATGAGACCAGTCGTAGCTTGTAATGGATCTTGATTTGCGCAGGTAGCTATCCTAAGGGACTTTGCTTTCTGATCGTAACCAAGCCAACCCCAACCAGACCCCTGAATTGCCACAGTTGTCTCTGACAAGTGTTTCTTCATCTCTTCCATGCTGCCAAAGTCTTTTTCAATTTGTTTCACAAGAACAGCTATGGAAACAAGAAGATAATATATCATTTATTCATACAAATTCATACAAATGTATGTATCACCTCTCTTCTTATTAAAAATAATTTTACTTAATGCAACAAAAAATCAATTATATCATTCATTTATCACCATTACCATCTGGATTACCACCAGTAGGTGATAAGTTGCACCAGAAGATTGAATGATTGAGATGTCCACCACCGTTGAATTTGATTGCTGGAGCTAGAGCAATTTGAGTGTTTACATCACCTTTTGCAGTTGCCTCCTTCAGTTTCTCCTCTGCAACATTCAGATTATTGACATAGGTCGCATGATGCTTGGAATGATGAAGTTGCATGATCTCTGCAGATATGACAGGCTCCAGAGCTCTATAGTCATACGGCAGATCTGGGAGAGAATGCTTTGTTCTTGTGAACATATCCTTGCTACAACAAAACATATTCCTCATGAGAGCTAAATATAAACTTAAAAATCCAAGATGTACTAATTTATATTTAACAATCCATTGATCAGCTGTGTGTCACATTTGTTATAATAAACATATTGCTTTGTACAGAAAATATCAATAGTGACTTATTGAACAATATTGTATTTGAATATTAATTTAATAACACTTGATTTTTTACATAAACATATAGAAACATTGCATGGATATCAAATTTACAAAATATGATAGGTTAGAGATTATATAACGCGAAAGAAACAGATGTAAGAATAAAACTGTCATACTTACATTGTGTTGGAAACTAAAATACGTCTCGCTGCGAACATTATTGCAAAAATGTGAGTCTTGCTAATAAGGTTTCCTCCAAAGTAATCCTGCAACCACTTTAGAATCCCCGTTCCGGCCTTATCGTGTTACGTAGAGATTGGTAGAGATGGCCGATATTACTTCGATAAAAGAAAATAAGGGGTCCAATTCAGGAAGAGATTATTAGACCCGTTACTTTTGTGAGTTAGTTCTTGAGCCTCCACTTGTTACCGTACACATCGAGGAATTGAGGTACGACTCAACAGCGAGTCAGATGTCCTTCGTGTCATTTATGAAAAATATCTATTATGAAAAATGAACGAAATCCAACAAGTTGTAATTTTAGAAAAAATAACGTTAGCAAAAATAATCAAAAGAAATAAATGCTCTGCCAAGACACTTTGAGAAGCACATCAATCATTTTAAAATTTAAGGATATACTAGGCTAATAAAAATATACAAGTATTTGTTTCAAATATTCTGTTGACAAAATATCAGTATAAAAATACATGCACACATGCACACAGGTTCCACATTTGCACCTTAAATTTTAATGGCAGGTTCTCTAACAATTTTTACCATTTAATCTTCTTTAATAAAGATATCAAAGATATGTGACTAATCAGAGCTTTTTCCAATTTTCATTATTACATATCCTTATACACTTCAAATGAATTTCATTAATCTAATCGGGATTAATAAAAAATTTGTAAAAATTCTGTCCTCAATGGCATAATTAAAATCCTTATCTCAATATCTTTGGTGAAAAAAAATTCAACTCTAAATTGTTCCAAGAACCTATCATTAAAATCAAGATAATTAATCTTATAGTCGAAAGTATTAAGATTTATTTATTTATTTACATAACGTGATCAAAAAAGGCATTTCTGATTAATTAACAATTAATATTTATTTGCTATTAACGATAATGATTCTTTCGAACCATTCTTTCTTTGCTATTAACGAAGACTTACTGATTTACGCTGATTTACGCAGGATGATAATACAGTAAGTTTACAAAATATGAGCATAATTTGTGTTTATTCCGCTCTTTTCAAAGCGCTTAATTTTTATAAATTATAAGGCAACAAAAAGTGCCACAATTCGTTTGGTTTATCTCTGTAATAGTTTGTAACTTAATCATACGCAAATAACTTGACGTAAATGTGAATCATGAGCATTCTAATGATACAAATATTTACAAGTTCGTCATTTTTGAGATTGCAATGCCGATATTTATTTTTTAAATTTATCATCGGTACAGGTACGGAAATTATATCTCTTTATGACTAATTATTAATTTATACAAACGTTGTATCTTTCAAAAGATCCAAAACGGCATTTACTTCAGATGAAAAATTTTGTACACAATAATCGGAGAACCACGTCAAATCGTATCGGTTGTTTTAACGATATATAGGATAAATGTCATATAAAATCAATCTAAAGTATTATTTATTCCGGATCACTTTGTAGAGTCTCGCCATTAGTTAAAACTAACGCATCATCGTCGGCCTCATTATAATCGAGAGAAAGAATGCTTTCCCTCCGTTTCTTCTTGTGCGTCCTTTCATCATCACTATTGGGAACACTCTTTTCTCTCTTTGTCCTGTCCCTACCCCGTGTTGTACGTGTTAGCACCTCTTCCCCATTAGATTTACCACTGTTCTTGTTGTGATTCTTACTCCTTAATATTCTTTTATTACGGTTCTCTTCATGTTCTTCTTCTCTATCACTAAGTTCCTCATTCTCGACCTTAATAATTAATGCCGCCGAATCGCTCGAACTCTCATCATTATGATCGGCTTGATTGAGTTTCCTTTCCACGCGTTCTGTTCTTTCGACACTCATAAGCTCACTCTCAGGCGACCGTTGTAACGTTAACGGTGGAGTCCTTACACCTTTGCACATATCACTGTCCTCGGCCGGCTTCAGAGGTTTCGTATCTGGTATAGCAACTTCTTCCGGTTCCTCTTTCTTGATCGGCGGAGTGTGGGGCGATAAACCGTTCGATAAGTTATTTTCATTTATATTTGCCTTCAATGCCGAATTCTCCTGCTGCAGCAGCGTGACAGATTCTCGAGCTTTACGCAATTCTTGTTGTAAGAAGTAAATAGTGCTCTGCATACCCTCCACGTCTTCGTCTAAGTCTTGTAGAAACTCGTCCAATTCTACCAAAGTCAGAAAAATAAAAGAATTTTAAAATAATTCACGTATCACATTTCAATCGTAGTAATTGTAACAATTTTGCTTATGTAATTTTTAAGTTGAAGAATTTTATGGCCTGATTTTATGTACCTGATTGTGACTTCTTTACTTCTTCGCTAAAACTCTTTTGTAGGGCAAGTTCACCTTCCAACTTGGCGATCCGTCCACTAGCGATCATACGACCAAGTTCTTCGTTTTCTTGATACAATAGTCTGCATTTCGCCATTAATCTCTTACCAGTATTGCTACAAGTACATATATAATTAGCAACAACGATACTGCGCGATAACTCTTGCTCACGTGTTATACGTGTTAGAATTTCTCTGACCTGTCCGGTGTGAATTTCCATGCACTGAGTTCATTTTGCGTGTCCTCCAATTTGCCTTTGGTTGTTATCAACTCTTGTCTTAATTTTTGTATTAATATATTAACAGCTGGATCTAATAGCGTAGACCTTAATGCAGCTGCGGACGGAGCATGGGTGGCTTTCATTTCAGTTATTTGATTCTAACAGAAAGAAAGATGTTTTTTTTCTCTCCTCCTTTCTTTATCCGCACACAATTATAAGTAAAGGAAAACAAATCGCACACTAGAACTTTGAAAAATCTAAAAACGTCTACATACAATGTATTCTTGCAATTCCTGCTCTTTGGAGGCAAGCCTCCTTACTAAGATCTTCTCCCTGTGAGATGCTTCTACATATTGTTGCCTGTACTTGTTTTCGGATTCTCTCAATGAAGTTAGCTCACCTATAAAAGAATAGCTTGTAAATCTTTCTACTTATAAAATCTTAGTGCTCAATGGTATCTATGTGTTTCTTAAAATTGCAATGCTTGTATTACAAAGTGTGTGTGTATATACTGCTATATACACGTTTATATATGTTACATATATATATGTATATAATATATTGATTAACAGTATATATTTCTGCAGATATATTCTTTGTAATATATAAGAGTAGCATTATGATGCATAACAATCAATATCACTACATAATTAGTATTGAAAGTTTCTTCTGTATAAAACTTAAAGATTACAATAAATCTGTGATAATTTTGTAGCTCTTTGAGATATTTATATAACAATACAAATTTATGAACCACATAGAATGCTTGTAAGTTCAAACTGTAAATGTAAAGTGTAATTAAGCATATAGAATATTCTGTGTATCTTTCATGTATGTGTTAATGGTTTTTGGTGGAACCAAGCATATTGGTGAAAGATTACTATTTATAATTTTATCCTAAGAGAGTGCGCATAAATAAAGTATAAACTTTCATAAGTATGTGACAATAACTGCCTGACAACTGACATTTTGTTAATTTGGCGCATACTTTGATTTTGGAGTCGTCGCGTCGTGCCATTTGCGAGATTCTCTGTACTTCCACCAAGACCAAGAGTGGATGTTACTTTTCTTCCACGACAATCGAGCATGTACTTGTTGCAGGCATAGATGTTGTAACAAGACGCTGGCCAGGCTTAATTCACAGGTTTTGTACTTTTGAAATTCGTATCCGGACATTATGGTGCAGGTATAAATGCATGCACGAGTTGCATTCATAGTGAGAATGTATAGAAGGATAAGAATTGGTCTAGGAATTAATTGAAAATTGCATTATCTAAATGGAAAGGTTTGAGGACTGGATGATAGTACATAAGGATATACAAGGATATGCAAATCGTGAGGACAGATGGTGGGATTAGATAAATGCGGTATTCCAGTTGGTACTTGGCGAATGGTTGTGTACTTCACCGAGATTCAAATTCACGCACCCCAGGCGCAGTATTTTGTAGGCCAGAGGGTGATACGGATCCACTCTCTTATTATTCCCCTGTGTCGTAAATTCAGCGCCATCGTAAACGCTGCTTTTCATCTCATCCTCGTTAACTAGAAACTCGGTATGCGAATTACACCCACGCACACACTGTCCCGCATTTGACGATACAATTATTACACCGCGGTGGTATACGCGATAACACTGCACAGGCACTTTTATGAAAAGATATTTTAAGCAAAAACGGTCGTGTCTTCCACAATGGATGATTATTGTCGGCACATTTTTTTCGTAGAAAAACCCCATTGATGCTTCTTGACACACATTAACACTTGTTACCTTAGCCATTTTCACTTTTGCTCGCTAAACTTTTTATGACTGATGATATACAACTGCTCACAAGAAAATTTAACGGACTAGATATATATTCGTGATATATATTATCATATTTTAGCCTTTTGTACATTATATATGGCTGTAACACTACCCGTTCTCAGAGATACTATGAAAAATACCGCTTTCCAACACTATACATACGAATTTTTCATTTAATTACCCACACTACACATCACAAATATAATTTCAGAATTTAATATATTAATTAAGTCGTCACTATACGTATGTGGCATATGAAGCATAGTATTATTTCAGTCTCATATCAATCTCTGTAGTAGAGATATTTGCATTAATGGTGTTGTTTATTTACACGCAGTGTTTATCTCCATATATCTGACTGCTTGCAAATATACAAACACTATTAATGTAATCATTTCATTTGTGCAGATACATTAAAATAATTAAACTGCAGGTATATTAAATTTTCTCTGAACCATAAAAATTGTCCCGTAATTCATACTATCTATAATGAGGTACTTATTTACTAAAACTCCCTTAGAGGCTTAATTCTAGTAGACAATATGACATCATCCTAAACACTGGTCTAATGAAACCTATGCTTAGTGTCCCTATGAAAGTCTTGTCTCCTATAAGAGACCGTTGTGTTCTGGCATTCGTTAATTCGCTTAAGATATGTGGTGAGTGAGATGGTCTCACTCGTGTGATCTCAGTACCTTCCTGAGCTGCCGCCTGGGCTTCTAGACACTCCACATACACGTCCTGTTCATGCCATTTGGCTGCCAGCTCGTCCTTTGTCAAGCTGTCCAATTGTTGCTGATTTAGCTTCACACGTCTTGGTTGCCTGGGTGAATGTGGACTACTAGCAACTTTTCCACTGGTGCTGTTGCTCTGAGGACTTCTTGGAGAAGACAGTCCTATTGATTTAACCTCGCCGCATTCATCTGCCATCTCACTGTTGATTCGCAGTTGAATACTGAACTGTAGAAGAGGCCCCTTTATCGAGCACAAGATCTTCTATTCATTAATCCTATGGCGTCGATAATTACGCCAATAACAATAATGTGCACTAATATCAGCAAATGCCTCACTGATTCATCTGAAACAAACAAGGTACAACATAAATAGTATAAAGCATATCATACAGACATGCAAGATAAATATCAATCAAATTAACTCATTTATTTTATTTCAATTTATGGTTAATATTTTTCAAACAATTCTCTTGACAATTTAATAAATATTTGAAAGAACCATTGTATAACACAGATGTTGCTTCATAATATTATAAGAATCTCAATTTTTTAATTTAATTAATACTATTATACCAAATTTTATACTTTATTCTATCAATCTATGAGTGAATTTTATCAAATACTTATCCACCATTAAATTAAAATTAAAGAGATAGTATGTTGTATTTAAATATCTACAAAGTTAAACAAGTTTTTGTAAAAATAGCTGAGGACGTAAGTGACATGTGTTCTATCCATATTAGTCAGCGATTGATTTAATTGCAAAAAAAGTATGCGAAATATACCGAACCATATTTAAAAATATTGGACTTGGATTGATCAATAAGGGTATTCATAAAAATATTACGCGAAATGAGCATATATGCATTTTCGACAGAGCGAAATTACACGAAACTACGACCGTTCATTAGTCAAACGTCACACGTATCGAATCCCGTACAGAATATCCCGTTGCAATCAGGACAGCAATGGTACACACTTATCTCCAGTCGAAGACAGTTGTGACGCCATTACGTCGACATGCCTGCCACGAAGAAACACGCATCCAGCGTTCATTTTATTCCTTACTCGCGTCCTTTCTCTTTCTCTTTTTCATCGATACTTTTTCCTTCCCTTCGTACGATCGAACGTAGCAGCACGCGCACGTCTCGTAATAGCGGCGTATGAGGCTCAAACGGCGCGTAACAATAGGTTCGGAGGCTAATTCACCGCGATCGATCGTCACGATTTCACGATAGCGCCGCTACGCATTCGTTCCCTCGTGGGAAAGAGAGAGAAAGAGAAAGAGAGAAAGAGAAAGAGAGAAAGGAAAAGGAGAGAGAAGGAGAGAGAGAGTAAGAGGGGGGAGAGAGAGGGGAGGGAGAGAAAGAGAGAGAGAGATGCCTTCTACTTCATCCTATCCTACATACCTCACTCGTTAGAACGGCAAGAATCCCATTATAGAGATACTCGCTTGCTCGGTATCAGGAGAGAGAAGAAACGGGCGGCATCATGCGCGCAAAGGTGCATTCGTGTAAAAAAGCCGCCAAGCTGCGTCCTCAGGAGCGCGACGGACCTGACGATTGATCAATCTGTGTTGAGCCGACAGACGAAAGGGACGTGTTGAAGCACCGCAGCTCGTATGTGACCAAGTGCCAGTCGTTCCACGCGTGGTATATTAATACGCTCATATGACACATATATATACATACACACTACACACATATGCGCGCGCGTGACAAACTGTAGGCTAGATTCGGAAGAGGTCGAGTGAGAGAGGAACCTGTCGCACACCACCGTTGTCGAACGTCGCGACTAATCACGAATGACGATTATCCGCGATCGAGAGAAGGGACTCTCGGAATGGCTAACGGGCACGTTCATCCCCAACGCATGCTCTAATCACGATCATCGACCTACCGTAGTGACGGCGATACTTCGACAAACGAAATGACGAAACGGAGCGTCCACACTGTATCTAATCGCACGATATCCAATGTGCGCGACGTTTTGAGCCCATTTCCGAGGGATCTCAGATGGCGTTGTCTGCGTTTTTAGGAAACTGATACTCCCATTGAATAAAAAACATCAGACATCGAACACGTAATGAACCACGTAGTGAATCCACTTTCTATTTCGATTTTTGAATTATAACGTCCAATGTTATTAGGAGAAAGCTTGCAAAACCTGTCACGGACTCGGAAAAAAATCGAGCAAAAAAGCTATTGCAAACTACTCCACCAATCACAACCAAGAATTGTCTAAATGTAAGTCTGACATTTCGAAATTCTCGCCTGTGATTGGTCGAGTCGCTCACTCAGTTGCCGCTTATCGTTTTTATACATGCCTTCGGCTCTCGCTGTGTCCCCCACCAATTTAAGTTCAGCAGACTGACCGAGTAAGGTTTTCGAATACAGCTGTGAATTGCACTGGGTGTCATGGGAAGTGTATTTCGTGTGCTTGTGTAGTTGCATCACATGGCGTAGTTGACATATCGGCGTCCGATGCACTTTACGTACATCGATAACAGAGCATTTAACGTACGCGTACTTGAAATTGCAAAAGCGCGCAAATCTGATCGCAACTTCATCTTTCTTTTACACAGGTAAAAGGTTTTTTCTTGTGCACTGACGTTTTCGACGGAATAACAGACCGTGAAGATGTGTACGTTCGCAATCGCCTCTGCAATATGTTATGTTAAATTTATATCGTTCACTTCCTACCGCTAGAAGAAGATTCGTCCCTGTTCATATGTGCATGTAAAATGCAGTAAAATGTCCGCCAGGTGAATTTCTACATCGTAGAAAAAGCAAAGAATAATATACGTATATTTTTTCGAACTTATAGATAACGTTTTGTTTTGGAACTTTTCGATTTTCTATTTACGTGTATATCTTCTGAGAATGACAAAACGTTGACATTCGACCAAAGTTACACAACTTCCACACTTGGCAGAACCGCGATGTATTACGACGAATGTGTTTAGCTGTGACATGTGAGAGCACAAGGTGATAATATATCTGTGTGTATACATACTTATATGTATCTATTCTTATGTTCTCAAAATAGTGCATTATTTTTTTCATACATACTTCTGTATCATCATGCAATTTCTAAGAAAAAAGCACAGAATTCAGATTGTATAATTAATAAATAGCATTGAATAGCAACAGTTGAGTTGAGTGCAAGCATCAAACTAATACAACATGTATTACTCGATGATTGCGAAATATATACTTTAGAACAAATTTTATCTATTTTGTATTATTGCAGATTATAAAAATGGCATTTGGATTGTTCTTCTGAATAATAGTTACTCATAACTACAAACAATTCCAAGTATTCCTAATTATGTATGTACAAATACTAAATAAATTTTTCGATATATTATTCATATGGAAAATACTGAATTTAAATGGGAGGTGTCTAATGATTAACCCTGCGTAAGAAGGATAAAGAACCAGATGACTTGTCCAAAATAACATTGAGAAAACTGTGTTAAATTTTTGGGAAATCTTTTGTATTACCAGTAGATACGATGGCAGGTACTGGATCTATTGCATCACAAACTATTACTCATCTATCAGAGAAAGAGCCTGGATCTGTTTCTGTTGACTATTCTAGCATCAGAGGCAAGGTATGTTTATATGTATATAAAATTTATATTTTTCTCAAGTAGTTTATAATATTTTCTAATAATACAAGTCAATATAAAATTTTTTAGAATGTTTTAGTTAGTCCATCTGAGGATCAGTATGAACTGTTGTTGAAAAAATTAAAAGAAAGAATTCAAGATGGAGGTAGTGAAACAATTTTTGATATTGGTATTGCTGAAGGTATCACTTTTAATTGGATAACTTAAAGAATATGTTATTTAAAATATTGCATGATATCTTGTTATATCAGTTAAATGATGATCAGTTAAATATATCAGTTAAAGGATATCGAGATAGACTTATTAAATTATTGTATGATATTTTCAGATGGTTCTGAGGATGGATTAAAGGAAGATGAATATGACGCATCAGTTGCTACTTTACAGTCTCTTGCTACAACTTTGGAGGCTAATTGTGTACTTCTACGCCAAAGTAAAGTAGACCATGGTTTAACAGGGCAATACCTAATAAGAAGGCGTCTGGATCGACAAGATTTCTTGGAAATCAGGTTTTTACTCAATATTTTATTAGATTTTTTTTTTAATAAATCAATAATTCTTTAAATTACTAAAATTCTTTTAAACTACTAAAATTACGATAGAGAACTTTAAAAGATTAAGAGAAATTAATCATCTGACAAATACGTATGAATTGTAATGAGTTATATGAGAAAGTAAATGATTGTAGGGTTGCTGTTGTTGGTAATGTAGATGCTGGTAAATCTACATTATTAGGAGTGCTGACTCATGGCGAACTTGACAATGGAAGAGGTCTGGCGCGTCAAAAGTTATTTCGCCACAAGCACGAAGCTGAAACAGGACGTACTAGTTCTGTTGGCAATGATATACTTGGATTCGATAGTGTCGGTGAGCATCGACTTTTAGTTGTAATCATTCTGTGAATTTTAGTTCAGATTCAAATGTAATCATTGTCATTATTATACAATCGCAGGTAACGTAGTTAATAAACCTGAACATGGATCACTGGATTGGGTGAAAATATGTGAGAAATCTTCCAAAGTAATTACGTTTATCGATCTTGCTGGTCATGAAAGATATCTAAAGACAACTGTTTTTGGAATGACAGGACATGCCCCAGATTTTGGTAATATAATTAAGCGAAATCTTTTTTTGTTATTACAATTATAATATCCAAGAAAAAATATTCAGTAAGAATATTTTTTTCATATCTTTGACATTTTATTATTCTTTCGTTTGTTAATATACAGTTTGAGAAAGTTTGAATGAATGTATCAACAATTTTAATGTAAATATTATCTTAGGTATGTTAATGATTGGGGCAAATGCTGGTATTGTGGGAATGACTAAGGAACATTTGGGTCTTGCTCTAGCACTGTCTGTCCCAGTATTCGTGGTTGTGACGAAAATTGATATGTGTCCACCGAATGTCCTACAGGAGAACTTAAAACTGTTGATAAGAATTTTAAAATCGCCTGGTTGCAGAAAAGTCCCGGTTACAGTAAAGACACCTGACGACGTAGTAGTCAGTGCTACGAATTTTGTCTCAGAACGGTTAGTATAGTGACTTATATATATTGTAAAAGAGAAATACTGAAACAATACTGTAATATATTGATATTGGTATAATATATATATAATATTATATTGCTATAATATGTTTAATTTATGTAGATTGTGTCCAATTTTCCAAGTATCTAACGTGTCTGGTGAAAATCTAAATCTTCTTAAGATGTTTCTTAACTTATTAACGGCAAGAATTACTAGTCACGATGATGAACCTGCAGAGTTCCAAATCGACGATACATATTCTGTACCAGTGCGTATTATATTACACGTGATTGGAATAATTTTTATGTTATCACATACAATGAAAATTGTAAATTAAAATCTGACAGGGTGTCGGCACAGTGGTATCCGGTACAACTTTAAAAGGTATCATAAAGCTAAATGATACCTTGCTCTTAGGACCTGATCCGCTAGGTCGTTTTACACCGATAGCTGTGAAAAGCATCCATCGAAAGAGGATGCCTGTTCGTGAAGTGAGGGGTGGCCAAACTGCCAGTTTTGCCCTGAAGAAGATCAAACGATCGCACATTCGCAAAGGCATGGTGATGGTCGCGCCTGTGCTCAATCCGCAAGCCTGCTGGGAATTTGAGGGTGAAATTCTGGTACTCCATCATCCCACTACAATCAGCTCACGTTATCAGGCGATGGGTAATTATTTTTCTGTATGGTCATTTTAGATACCATTACAATATTGTATAATCATCATAAAAAAATTATTACAGTACATTGCGGCAGCATAAGGCAAACTGCTTCTATATTATCCATGTCTCAGGATTGTTTGAGAACAGGCGACAAAGCCTTAGTACATTTTAGATTTATTAAACATCCCGAATATATAAAACCTGGACAGAGGATGGTATTCAGAGAAGGTCGTACTAAAGCAGTAGGGAACGTATTGAAACTTATACCGCATTCGAGTGGTACAACCATACAAACATCTAGAGTTAATAAACCGAATAAGACGTCGCAAGGACGACAGAATACATCAAGTATGCAGGTATGATTCACGCGATGCGCAATACTAATCGATAATTGGTCTTTCCAATTGCTTGCTTATAATGCATATAAATGAGTAAGTTAACTTTAATGTTAAAAGCATGAGTGATAGATTTAATTTTATGGCATTAGGGGTCAGAAACGACAGAAGCTGATTCCATGATCGAAGTACAAACGGCCAAGCAAGAAAATGTACCACAAAAATTTGGGTTGAATCAGAAAAAAAGTAGAGGCCGAAGAGGAGGGCGATCACATAACAACATCAATAGCATTCAACCTTTAGCTGAACAAAATCCTGCAAAAGTGTAAGCTGATTAGTACGACGTTGTACAAAGAACATATATATATATTAATTTTCCAATAATTTTCCAAAGAGAGTACATAATAGTCTCTCGTATAATAATGGAAAAGAAGATTATCTATGTGACAAAATTATTATATTTAATATTTTTATTTTTTCGTTAAAATTATAATGTACTATAGAATATATTCAAGCACGTATTGTGCTATAAATTTATTAGAGTACAAACGATTTTTCGATTATTAATCGTGTTAAGAAGATATTCTTTTAATAATATAACAGAGTATTGGTCACATATAAATTGTATTATTTTTATAAAAGGCACATGTGTATCTTAAATGCGTACTACATATAGATAAAATCAATTAGAAAAATACATGTATATCTCCTCTTCTGTCACATAAGCAGAAATATACGATATATGTAATCGGCTACATTAAAATTCTATATATGTGTGTGTATGTGTATGCGTGCGTGTATGTGTATATGTGTGTGTCTGGTGCTCTATAAAGAAAGTTTATATTGGGTTGGCAAATAAGTTCGTTCGGTTTCCTAGAGTGGAATGAAACACAATTCTTTTGATACATAAAATATACTTTAATCAATTATATATTGACCATTTTTATTGATGACCTCTCTTGCCATCTTTCCAACTTTATTATACTGCATTCGTAAACGTCTAGGGCTTATAGGCGAAAAACCAATTTAGATGTCTTTTGACGGTTTCCTCATTCTTGAAGGTTTTTTCATCTATAGAATTTTGTAACGACAGGAATAAGTGATAAACGGAAGATTTATTTTTTGATAGATGGTTTGCATACCTCAAAATACGGAATGATACTTACACATAAAAATTGAGCAATTATTCATTATTAATTTTGGATACATTTTAAGATATATAAATGTAAATTTAATTTGTTCTGGTTGGAGATGAATAAAAATGTTATCAGTTTATTACATTGACAAACAATTTTATATTGCTACATGTTTCATTAATGCTTTCTGTAGTAATACATTACTAAGAATTTGAAATATTGTCTAGTCAATGTATATACATAAGATTTTTACATAATATAAAAGTAATTTATAAAATCTACAATTATTTAGGTGAATTCTTCTTAAATTCATCTTTTGATTCTCGCAACTCTCGTTTTAATCCATTTGCAATATCTCGTAACTGTTTAATAAACTCTTGTGGACTAGAAATCTTACGTTGTGTTATCTTTATTAAACCTGTCCTAAATAATATATATACTACAAATTGTGCACTTTGTCTAATTGGTTTGGATTCTGCTAATCTATTAATCAGTTGTTCATTGTTTAACAAATAGTGGAAAAGAGCTCTTATGAAACGCATGGTGATAAAGTATATAACTGCTGTTATATAATAGAGAATAAACACATCTAAAGTATTTTACTTTAGGTATTTCATTCAAATTTAAATTTATACTTTAGGTATTTCAAATGTGTATGAATTACGATACTTTAACAAAAGTTCACGTTTCAATCTCAGTTGTTTACGCAATGTTTCTAGTTTTTGTAACTGTTCTTCTTTACTGTATTCTATCCCTGGTAATCTTTTAATCTAAACAGCATAAAAACGATATTGTATAAGTAATTTAATAATAAATAAAATATAAAAATATTTTCATTTATTTATACATTCATATAGAAGGTTACACAAACTTTTACCTGTGATCTCACAGAATCCAATTTCTTCTGCAATTCTAGAACCTTGTGACTTGTATCTTGTGATTCTTTTGCTTTTTGTGTAGTATCATGCGGATCTTTCTCCACACTGAAATTTATATAATTTTATTTTTATATTTGTATATATACATATATATGCGTGTGTGTGTATGTGTTTGCGTGTGTGCGCGTATGTATGAAAGTTGTATAAAAGAAATTATTAATTGAGGTTATATACTGAACACTTAGTTACTAACAATTTGTTCGAGTGTAAAAATTAATATAATTAGTTATTTATTATAAAAATACATACCTACGTATAATCTCGTAAATAAGCGGTAATATTTCAATATCTAAATCATCGACAGTGAATTGTGTCCTTAAAGGAGCCTCTTCTGGCAACTCAACCGTCTCCATCATGACCAGTGTTGTCAAACTTGTGTAAAAAAAATTTCTTCTTATTTCATTTACAACGCGTAATTTTTATGTTGCAAATACTACTTTTCTCTTTTTTACTTTATATATTTCTTATTTGGCTTTGAGGTAATAACTATGCAATTTTGAATTAAATATTATTTGATCTAATTTCTTAAAGTTATGTTAATAGATTACTGATGGAATACAGGGTGTGTTATTAAAAATATCTTTAGCATTCATTGAATAAATTGAGATTTTTATTTTTCTTTATTATCATTGGAAATGTCTTGTGCATGTTTGGATATGGAAATACGAAAACTGAAACCAAGTGAAATGTATAGGTTAGGAATTATATTAAATATATCTGATAATTGGAAAAAGCTAATGGCTAATGTGCCAAAGCAAGAAAACGTTCCTAAATTCAGCAGTGAGCATATCGAGTAAGTTAAATGTTTCATATATATGTTTATGTGGTTATGTCACATATAATATAGTAATATTATGATTATAGGATGATTGAACAAGCTGCGCACAAACATAATCGTAATGCAGCAGAAATATTTTTAGATGAGTGGAGTACTATGGGAAGGAAAAGGCCAACATTAAGATTATTATTGGACCTTCTTATAAAAGCTGAATTATTCAGAGCTGCTGACTATGTAGCATGTGATATATTAAAATGTAGTATTTATAATATAGTGAAATAGTTCTTATTTAAAGGCAAACTAGCATATTTAAAGGCAAACTAATTTTTTTCTTTAATTACAGTGGAAAGACCAAAGAGGCCAGAATATGGTCCAATTGCTTCCATTGATACAAGTGACGCAACTATAAATAAGATATTAGAGGAACAAACATTTCCAAAAGATACATTTGATGATTCACTAGCATTAGAATCCTCATTAAAACTAGAGGTTAATAAAATGTATCTTGATGACAAGACATTTGATAACTTAAAAGAAACCACCAATAGAAATTCATCAGAAATAACTGAGAGAGATGATACTTTGAATAGTAAAAAATCTATGAATGCTGTTAGTGAAATTGTGTCAGATTTAATGAAATTCAATATGACAGATTCTTGCAAAGCAATAAAGCACGAGCATGAAGCACGTACCCTAGTTTCAGTAGCTGAAGAACAATTGCCTATTCCTATAATTATTGGTGGACCGATAGGAGATCTATCAAATACAAAAGAAAATTGCCAAGAAGTAACATCTCAAGAATTACCAGTGTTTCTTAACAACTCTATGCAATCTACAGTGCCTAATGTAGAAATGTTTTCTGAGCATTCGCCAGTGTCTTTTAATAATCCTGTGCAACCAACAGTATCTAATGAGGAAGTATCTTCTGAATATTTACCAGTGTTTCTTAACAATTCTATACAATCTACTACACTTTCCAATGAACAAATGTCCTCTTCTAATATTCCGCTTTGTTTAAAACGTTAATGTATGATTTTATATTTATCTATCTTATTAATAATTTATGACACACTAATATGTAGATTAATACCTAAATAAAATTTATAAACCAAATGTACTCATATATGTATACAAATATATACAATACATAGAGAATTTATATACTATAATGATATATCCCCATTTTTTTCTCTTTCTCTCTTTTATTTCTCTTTTGGAAATAATTTCTGATATAAAAACGATGTAAATAATAATTAATAATGGGGAATTTGCAATCACGTTCTTTTATATACAATAAACGTTAAAGTTATTAGATCGAAACTTTTGTAAGAATTTCCTTATCATATACTATCCCAATTCCGTTTAAATTTTAGAAGAGATCTGGTATTTTCGGTTACTTAATAAATATTACTCACTGGTATCTTAAATCACTGTATTTAATAACTATAATTATGTGACAATTACATTTAAACACTTATTACTATACTATTTAGTTCTATTAGATCGCCTAACGACTGTCTCTCTCGACTTTCTATTTCTCTGTGTCCCTATATTTTTAAACTTCTGTCTTTTATCGCTTTTTCTTCCTTCCGGCTGCATCTCCCTGGATTACGTCATCGTATCGTGCTCCCAGGTGGTGCTGCCCCCTATCCTATCTTACACTTTAACGTCCACTGTACTTGAAAAATATTGCAAACATTTTTTAACAAAAAATTAATAATAATTATCGCACCTTTTCTTTAAGCACTTCAAAATATTTGCAGCATGTAATAAGGCGAGGTTCCGATATACACTGCCAGCACTGAAAATTTATAGTATTAGGTTGGGGAAAAAGAAATCCATTATTTTTTCGTTTATTTCAAGGCTTTATTTAACATAGTTAGGATTGTTCGATTTTGGTCAAATAAGCACCGTTTTGTTCTACAATTTGTCGCCATTTTAAAGGTAATTTCATGATCCCTCTTTTATAGAAGCCCTTATTTGCAAAAATTTCGACTAAGCGATTTTCACACTCTTCTCTTGAGGTCAATTTCTTACCATCAAGGAAGTTTTGCAATAACAAAAACAGATGGTAATCGCTTGGTGACAGGTCCGGACTATAAGGTAGATGCATCAAAACTTCCCAACCAAGCTCCCGGAGTTTCTGACGAGCCACTATAGACGTATGTGGCCAGGCATTGTCCTGATGAAAAACAATTCCTCTCCTATTGACCAATTCTGGCCGCTTCTGGTCGCTAGCTTCAAACGGTCCAATTGTTGACAATAGAAGTCCGAATTTAGTGTTTGGCCATATGAAAGCAGCTCATGGTGGATGATTTCTTTATAGTCCCATCAAACACTCAGCAAAACCTTCCTGGCCGTTAATCCTAGTTTGGCCACCGTTTGAGCCGTTTCGCTGCGCTTTGACCACGATCGTTTTCGCACAATATTGTTGCATGTAATCCATTTCTCATCCCCAGTCACCATCCGTTTCAGAAATGGCTCAATTTCGTTCCGTTTGGTCAAGGCTTCGCAGATTGAAATTCGGTCCATCATGTTTTTTTGCGTCAATTCGTGTGGCACCCAAACATCGAGTTTTTTTTTTAATCCAGCTTTACGCAAATGGTTTAAAACTGTTTTGTGGTCGATCTTCCCTGAAACATTTATATATTTATATTAATATTAAGACTATATTATATTAGTAAACTATAAAAAATGCCTATGGAGTTGTTTTAATAAATAAATTTGTTTCAGCTATGCTAAACTGTGAAGCATCTCATGTGACTGTCTCATGCGACGTGCCTGAGACAGCGCCTCGCGACTGTCAGTTTCTTGGTCCGCCGTGCGGGCTGGAGCGGTAAGGGGAAGTAAGAAGGCGTAGCTTTCAGAAATCGGCCCGATCGTGCAAGTAATTCCGGGCACTGGATTAGACAATCAGAAACCGGTCACTTCGAGGGAGCGCAAAGAGAGAGAGAGAGAGCTGGGCAAAGTTTTCACGCATGATGGTTCCGTCACGACGAAGCTTACGTTCGCGATACTTTGACGAAATGAGAGTTTAAGCTTCCTTTGTTAGCAGTGCGGATAAAAACGCGTATATTGGTAACCGCGATCGCGATATTCAAAGGCACGCGAGCGAAGGTACCTCAAGCTCGGCGTGCGCTGGCGCAATTTCTGCGCGTATTATACGCTACTCGAGAATAGGGATCGTGATGAATGGACAATATTGTCAAATAATTTTACAGCCTGTTTTGAAAATAAAAGAAAAGTAGCCAACAGTATCGGCATTTATATGTATGAATATAATTTACGTACAATTGAATATTGTCAAATAATTGTCGTTAAATAATTCTGGCCCGCTTGAAAAATGAAAATAAAGCAGCTGATAACGGTATCGCGTTTGTAGACATGAATATTTCTTATTCAAATGAACATCAAAAGAGAATCATTCGCTATTTTAAATCTTGTATGTAATGCAGGTTGTCGATCAAGTAATCCCCTGATTGTTTCGAGCAATGTATTTTATTCAACGTCACAAACACACACATGCAAAATCTATTTGCAATTCGCATTAACTCGAACGATATTTTATCTCCCATAATCCCACATCCGTTATGCGGAATTTTGTTTATCTTTTCATTTTGCATTTACTTACCGAAACGACTTGCAGTCAGAGCCGGCCACGTTCCGCTTCAACTCTGTAACAAAAAATTCACATTCGCTCATCAGATCAGACCAACGAGTGCGGATGAGTAAAAGTGTAGTTTATCCTCTGCGATCGTAATTCAAGTCGAGCCGGAAATTATATCCCAGCTCTAGATCGCTAAGGGTCAAACAGAGGACTATAGTAAACTTGTAAACTTACCTTCAAGCCGACTCTGCTTGGCCCGAACCGGATCCTCCGGTGCGGCACCCGCGTCCGCCGGATTGCTGTTGCTTTCCGCAACAACTGAAACAGAAAAATAATTTTCCCGGTTAATAACCTGCGGTAGAAAGAGAATATCTTTGATCGGGACGAATCGAAAATACGGAAATATTTTGATATAGGATTTTTATCTCAATATTTTTGTTCCAACATTGAAAATTTAAATGAGACATGAAGCTTTCAAGAGAGCTGATGAGGAACAAGTTGCAAAGGCAAAGATTGTAAAGAGTTGAACACAGATGTGTAGGAAATTTGTAAGCTTTACCTTCCGGCCGACCCTGGTCTACCCGAACTAGATCCTCCGGTGCAGCATCCGCGTCTGCCGGACTTGCTTCCCGCAACGTCTGGAATAAAAATTTAGCGTTCCTGGTTGGTAAGCTGCGAAAGAAAAAGAATGTTTGGTCGGGATGAGTAGAGAATATTCGCTATGATTTTTTTCCCTCATTGACATTGAAAGTCTAGATAGGAGCTTTTGAAAGAGCTGACGAAAAAAAATGACAACAAGAAGCGGGGACAACAGTTGTGTGCTCTCGAAAATATTCTTTTACGAATGGATATTTAAATTTAGATTCCGTAACGAGAGTAAACAGACTTGAAAGAAGCGCGACTTTATTACATAAAGTTAAAAAAATATTACATATGTAATAACATGATTATTAAATTTTATCTAATAACGGAATACATAGCCATGGTTTTACTATTAAAAACAGGTTTTTCTAATTTTCCAGTGTGACAACTTTTTCTTATTTTAAAATTAATGAAACGAATTTTAATTTTGTGGGATAAATTGTGACATGTTTTTGATGCAGTACATTCAATATCTTTCATTTTTTCAATAAGGAAATTAACAATATTATAATTGCTTTGCTTAATATAAGGCAAATAATGTACAATTACATAATTCATTTCTAAGAAATAATTAAACGTCGTATCGTTAACAAAAAATAATGTTTCTACGCGATAACATTTTAATAATAATATTTATTAATAATAATTTAATTATTTTCATCGTTGTTTTTATTATATTTTAACTTCTTTATTTTTCCATCGAAAGATTCCGACATTACTTTTGTATGAGGAAAACTTGTTGGCACTGCTTGTGCTTTTAATTTTTTGGAACCATCCTGTCGCGGTTTTTCCCACATTTCTTTAGTAAAATGAACCTACAAATACAATTAGATGAGAAATATGTTTTGTTTATTATTTGATATAATTACATACTTACCTCACAAATTGCTGAATATTGTTTTGGTTTCCAGTTTTCTCTTCCAATTTGTTTCAAATATAATTTTTTGTTTTTTACTTATTGGAAAACGTTTCATATTGAAGCCATTTTCGCTTCTATTTCTGCATCCCGGTATGCAACAACTAGTCATTTTTTAAATATTTTTATAAATATTTTTATATATAGTCCTCTTATTGTGTTGGAAGTTTTTTCCAAGATGAAATGATGTTATGTTATCACTTGCATGTGCACGCGTAAAAACCGAGATTACAGTAGGTGCAGTACAGGTGTAGTAGCCATTTTGTATCCAACTAGAACATTGGCCAGACTCTTACTATAGGGACTCTAGTGCGGAAAGTCGGTGTCGCAGAAAATGTCGTGTTGGCCGCTTTCAGGTTTCTCTCTGCTTCTACTATTGGATGTCAAAAATGTCGTGTTAGAAATCGGGTGCAATGTAAATCCTCCATTACAGACTGATCCAGTATAACTCTGTTTCCGCTCTTCATAGATGTTTCTTTTCAAGAAGCCGTTCTTTATGCGTGAAGTCGTGTGCTCTGTAATTTCTCTGTAATTTCTTTAATCAGTTTACATCTACGTTTTTGAATAAGAATTTTCAGATAAAACTGCTATAATGCCTCCCAAGTTCGATCCTAATGAAATCAAGAAAGGTATTTTTTATGCATTTTTATTTAACACTCAAATTTTATAAATCTATAACCTTATAAAGTATGTGTTAAAACTATCAATTTTTTTCAAATGCAGTGTATTTGCGATGCGTTGGTGGCGAAGTGGGAGCCACTTCATCCCTTGCTCCAAAAATTGGTCCCCTTGGTTTGGTAGGTTTCAAGGAAATTTTATTTGTGCAATGATTAGAATGGTTTGGTATAGGTTATGTATGTACTACTATCAAAAATTTTTTATTCTCTCTTCTGCAGTCTCCCAAAAAAGTAGGTGATGACATTGCTAAAGCTACTAGTGACTGGAAGGGATTAAAAATCACAGTACAATTGACTATTCAAAACAGACAGGCTACAATTTCAGTTGTGCCTTCTGCAGCTTCCCTTATTATTAAAGCCCTCAAAGAACCACCCAGAGATCGCAAAAGGCAAAAGAATATCAAGCATAGTGGTAATTTAAGCTTTGATGATATTGTTACCATTGCCCGTGCCATGAGATCAAGATCAATGTCACGGACACTTAGTGGCACTGTTAAGGAGATCTTAGGCACATGCCAATCAGTTGGATGTACCGTGGAAGGCAGACCACCCCACGACCTCATAGATGATATTAATGCAGGAGAATTGGAAGTTCCTGAGGAATAATTGCTGGTAGGTATAAGGCCTTTGGTTCATTCTTTCCGTTGATAAAACAGACAATATTTGACAATTTGATATATTTGATAGTTGATTATATACTTTAAATTTGCTATTAGCAGTTCTGAAATTACTAATTTATAATAAATTCTCAATGAAAAGTGTTAACCATGGGCCTTTGGTAGGGGTTGGCATCCCATCCACTTGTTTAGCCAAAAATTGTATCAACTCATTATGGGCTAACAAGCTAACTTTGCCACTGAGGAGACAACCTCAATAAAAAATGTCTTGTGTGTGGTAGAAGTAAATATTTTATTAAGTATTTTCCATCTTTGTTTTTTTTCAGATTTTTGTAAGATGCAGAAAATAAAAAATCCTTTATAAAAAGATTGAATGTGTACTTGTACTTTCTTTTATTATTTTATACTATTTATTTCTTAAATATGCATTGCAATATTAACCATCGCTAAAACATCATAAACAACCACAAATTTATAGCATTTTTTACAAATTTTTGTAAAGAATTTTTGGAGACAATTGATTTTACTTTATTTCTATTTTATATTGATTACTGGGTATGTTTGCTTTTTCTTCATTTATCCAATTTATTCAATATTGTAAGATTATGCATTTATTTTACCTCAGGTCCATTTTTTTAATTTATTACTATGTGTGAAAAAATATACAGAACATTATATATACAAACTTTTACAGAGGTAAATGTATTCTATTAAATGCAATTTGTGATCAGTTATTGATAGAGAAAATATATAATGTCCTTGTAAAACATAAAACATTCAATTGCTCACTATTATTGCCAAAGTATATATGTACCATAAGGAATATTACATAAAATCACAAATATTTTTACAAGGTTCCATAATATATTTTTAGTCATTTAAATTTGTAATATGTAAACATGTCATTTGCTATCAATACATAATTCAAAATTCATCTTCTGAGCCCATGTTTTAATCACTGGAGTTATACAAAAGTTTACAGAAACACTTGGAAGAATCAATGATACAAAAACATAAGGAAACAAGTATTACTATTATGAATATGAAATGTATATGATACATTTTATTATAACCAATGATTTTTTTGTAAGCAAAATTTTTTAATTACTGTTGACCCAATATATGACCTCTTCCCCAATTATGTCCCCCAAATATATTTCTTCCTTGAGCATTTTGTTCCCTTGCTGGCCTGTGTGTCGGCGGAGCTCCAAATGATCGAACACCACTTCTTTGAGGCGGGAAATAACTTTCAAGTATTCTTGGAGTATTTAATAATTCTGGTCCACCGAGTTCTTGAGGATACTTAAACTTCAAAAAGACATATAAATGTCCAACCAGAATGCCAAACAGCTCCATCATCCCACCTCCAGAAATAATCAAGTTAAATCCAAACAAGACCCAGGGTAGGTACATAGCCTTAAATTGTGTGCCTATTAAAAAAATATTTATAATATTAAGAGCCAACGTTGGCATTACCGTCAACTAAATTAAAAGCAAATCTTATCATTGTATATAAAATATGAAAATCCAAAACATACCAAACCAGAAATTTACAATAGCATCCTTATTCAGCTGACACCATACGTATAACACACTGAGTACCATGGGATCCATGAGCAAGGGAAAATCACCAACCAGCCCAATAATGACACAACATATCCAGTTGAACAACAAAAGGAAACAATAATCCGCTGGCTTGCCATCATACTCTCCTCGCTCTAACCTTAACGAATAATTATATAGGAAATAACAATTGATCAAAAAATGAAAGCCCGAACCCGGGCTGAGAGGATAATAGAAAACACTTGTCACTGCTCTCCAAATTTCGAAATTGTTTAGAAATCGATCGGGCCACAGTATTAGCAAATACGGACTAAGAAAGTCAAATCTGCCGAGCAATGTTAAGACAGCGGTGCATAGCAACCAGTATCTCGTAAATACTGGTAAGGAGCTGAACCAATCTCTCACGTCTGACATTTTACAAAATTTTTAAACGTCGTTTTCTTTGTATCAACAACTGACTGTTCACAAGCGACTGCTAGCAACTGGCCAACGATTGCGAAGTACGACGTGTTGATCAATGTTGATCACACCGCTAAATATGCGACACGTCTACGATAACGTCTTCGTAGGTTAGGTATACATGCGACATGCGCGTACAGGTTATCCTATAAAAAACGATATTGCATGTCACGCTTCAAGAATTGGACAGCGATATTTTACACTTGCTACTTTCATTCGTGCTAAATATTTGCTAAGAAATATCAAGTAAAACAGTCAAGTTCAATAGAGTTATTTATACAAAATTGTTTTATTGAACATACTCGCATATTGGTAAAATAATTACAGAATAATCACAATTTTTCACCTCTGTTACAATACGCACGCATACATTCATCTTGTTCGTGATGACGCAGTAGCACAAAAAGAGAAAAATAAAAAAGTTTATCTTGGAGGAAAAGTAAAATTTGTTATGCTAAGTACAATGTGATTACATATGCAAATTTTGTGCAAATAAAGCAAAATATTGAATATCATTGTACAATTATGTCTCTGTACTGAGACATTATATGCACATATATATCATAGGGAAGTAAACGTATCAGCAGAGTACGACTTTCCCTATTGCTTCAAATAAAAATTCAAAATCTACATTACTAATCAGAATTGTGTATGAAAAATATTTTTTAACATAAATAAAAACTTCGACTATGGAACTGTAGATGGTTTTTAAAAATATCGCAATTGCACAATACAGATTCTTCTGTGTCACTGTTAAATAATATACATACATAAATATTAACATAATTCAGTCATCAGAACCAGCTGTTCTTTTAACTTTTCTTTGTCCTGGACTTTGCTTTGAAAACCTTGGTACCATACCTCTAGACTTATCTGTAACAAATATTAAGAATTTTCACATTTGTTCATACAATGCAATGTAAAATCTGAGTGCTTTGCAAGATACATTTAATTCAGATTTATACTTTAGTGTACATAAATTCTCATTGGCTTCTGATCTATTACTTACTGATTCTGTTAAGAGTTTCTTTTGGCAACCAATCATAATCTACATTGTTGGGATTAGATGTGCCCATTTCTACTGGTGCTTTTCGAGTAGTGGAGGATCGCGACTTGCGCCCTAGAGATGATAATAATTGCTGACCTCCTACAAGCGTCAATATAACACATGCTGTGAGGAATACATAAAGGAAAATTGTCTCTCCATCGAGACCATCGTCTATCTCTATAATCTGTATAGTTTCATTGAAGACTGCTTCATTGTAGGAAATTCCATTCTGCAAAAGCATAAATTAACATTGATACATATAAATGTGTATTTTCACGTATATACAATCTCATACTTACTATATCTCTGTAATTAAGATTAACATTTAAACCAAATGGTCTCCCAGCAAAGTTTTCAGCTGGTATAAAGGAATAAGCCAAAGTAGCTTCGTGCTTGGGTTTTACAATCTTGTTAAATGTAAACGTTGAGAAGTTCTGAATATAAAAATTGAAATCCATCGCATAACGGAAAGAAGCATCGAGTGATTCCAAAACAAAGTCACCTTCACCTTTGTTGGTGAAACCAACAAGGAATTCTACTATATTTCCAGCTGGCAATTCTGTTGAATGCATAGTACATATTTTAGTATAATATATATATATATATATATATATATAATTATTATCTTCCAATTTTAATAACCAAAAATATAATAGAAATACCAAGAGTAGACAGTGCATTGTGAATAGGTTTTGTAAAAAGTATTGTCGTATCAGCATCAGCTGAAGCATTGCTTGTATCCTCTTCTGTTTCTTCCTCAGCTATTATACTACCTTCTTCACCTTCCACATCAACGATATCATCAATATTCTCATCTTCTTGAGCATAAACACCATGTCCTAAATAAAACAGACAACATATGTATAAGCATCTCTTGTCTTGCTGCTAGAACTAAGAGTGTGTTAAACAAATTCTTATTTCAACATATCTTTTTCAATACACACGTGTAAAAATTAATGCATGACAGCTGGTGAACCTTCAAAGTACTAGAAAGCTTCACCTAACTATGCGAATGAGATTCTACTCAAAGGACTGTTGTTTCATTGAATAAATTTTCTTCAAGAAGAAACTCAACACAGCCACGCGATTGTAAAATGCGAACAAACAGAAAGTGCCGTGCAAAATATGTCAACGAACGAAGCGTAAAACGCACGTATTTACCTGTATTCGCCGCAAGCGCGAACGCCGAAAGGGTCACGAATAGGAAAACGTTGAATCTCTTCATTTTGACACGCTGCTCGGCGACCGCTCTTTCAGTTAGGAATACCGATTAATTCGACCTCACATCCACTCACCACGATACTGATTCTACAGCACGACGCTCCGGCATAACGTGACGGCCACCACCATTACCAGCAGTACCGCGTGCTACGTGGAAGGTCAACAGGGTAGTCGTCAATTCGTCAACGTGGAACCGGGAGAGCGACACAGCGCGGCGCGTCGCGACGACGCGACATTGCCATGAAGTGTGCCAAGCTCGCAAGACGGTACACTCTCGCGTTTAATTCAAGACCAACGATGTGTCCTGTGTTTATCCATGATTGCCAATGGCAACGTAATTTCAAACGAACGAAGTATTCTGATTCGTCGATTTTGAGGGAATAGCGAGCAAGATTTCGGCGATATCGTTGGATAGAGTCGGTGCACGATTGAGTTTCCCTTCTACATGGATCATAATGCGAATTTGACACCTGTCTTGTGGATACGTCTACGAGTGACGGGGAAATTGATAGGAACACGCCTCGCATAGAATTTATATTGTTTATTGTCGATGTTAGATCGTTAAATCACTCTATCCTTGTTCCCTTCTAAATGTAGAATTGAATATCATCAATGTTTTGCTTCATCAACTGACATACTAGTTACAAATAACATTCTTATAGTTTCAAATAGCTCATTAGACAAGATTAACACCGGGTCATTTATCCCGGAAGACAGTTTATTTTTTATTGACACTGAATAAGATCGCACAGAAATTGCAAGAGGAAAATCGGAAACAATTAACGAGTGTGCTAACCGTTCGTGTCGAACGAATATGACGGGATTAGGCATGGATTTTGAGGATGATTTCTTCTTCGAGGACAAAATGTTGGTTATAGAGGATTGCGAATTTTAATTGCCAATTAGCTATAATTTATTGTCACGCTGCATTACAGTCTCAATGTGCTTTCTTTTGGTTGTAACATGTATGTCTGAATGCCACGGTGCGGATTTTCTATAAATCAAGTTGAGACGATATATTTGTATATTTAATGCCAGAATGCCATTAATTGTACTTCCCTTTCAATTATACGTGGGAACACGACATATAGATATTTATGAACTATACATGTATAATATATAAATATTTATAAATCAAATAATATATATACTGTATACGATACGTACAACCGGTGTATATTTGTAAAGAATAAAATACATACCAAAGCTGTTATTTTGAGATATAAGAGAAAATTGTTCTTTATATATTGTATAACTTCTCTTTTGCTGTTCATGTCAATTTATAGTGAATACTTGTACAATTAAATATGCAGGTTTTTTGTGAATTAAGTTTCAGAAATTTCGTTTTAACTCTAAATTATTCAATAGAGAGAAATTGGGAAATGTGATATATTTGAATTCTCCCTCAATTTTTATTGCACATGCGTCCCGAGAGCCGGAAATACCACCATTTAAAGGAATGTTGGGAGCATTTATTCTCTCTGTAACTTTCTGCACATGCGTCAATACGTGACGCGTTTATTGCTTAACATACTCGTGCCTAAATGCAATATTGGGGGTTTTTGTGGAGCCCGAACCATATCTTTTTCCATTTATTTTTTTTCTGTATGGCTACGTTCTGATATTCCAGCACTGAAGATCTATAGCATACGTAACATAAATGATGTATTTTCAATATTGGCAGTGAATATCGGAACGCAACCATAATCTTACATTATTACATTGGCTGCGTTCAGCAGAGAAAGCTGCTTTGTAACTGTTGCAAAATTCGTGAATCTGACTGGTACATGCTCTTGGATTCAACCAAACTTAAGAGCATACTCTAATCAGATTCATGAATTTTACAACAGTTGCAAAGCAGCTTTCTCTGCTGAACGCAACCATTGGTTTCGCTCCAAGAGCACTTTATTGTATATCTAAACACAAGCTTATCAAAATTGTGTGACGTGTTGACGCATGTGCAGGAGGTTGCGGAGAGAATAAATGCTCCCAGAACTGGTTACGGTCCTGTTTTGTTCTTTCTTTCTTTCTTTCGTCGTGCGACCAGTTGTGTGCTTGTCCTCTCGTAGAGCTAAGGTCATATCGACAACTTGCACCAATTATTAAGTTCCATCCGACGTTAAGTAACAAATTTTAAACAAAAAATGACGACCGAGACCGAGCTTGCATGCGTTTATTCCGCATTGATTCTCGTCGACGATGATATCGCCGTAACGGTAAGTACATTTTATGGAGGTTATGCTGCGTGATCTTAAGCTCGATATAGACTTGAGCACGAACACGCATGAAGTAAGCCGAGCACGTGCCGCACAGGCTCGGACCGAGCCGAGCGCTGTCGGTCCATCAAAGATAATTCGTGCTCAATTTGGACGCATTCGAACACGTGTACGGAAGATAGCCGAGCACGACACGAAAAATTAAGAACAGAACTGCTGACTCCGAACGACCAGAGCAACGTCGAACAGTTGCCTCGACTTGCCTCATGCGTTCTCATGTGGAGACTTAAATTTTCAATTCGAGACATTCGGTGTGGCCTCAGCTTGCCTCATGCGCATTCGTGCTCAAATCTATATCCAGTTTTAACACGTTGCTTATGTCTCAATCCAACCTTTTATTAAGAATAAAGGGTAATTATCCAGTTTAGGAGCTCCGCCTTAGAATTCGATAAAAATAGACTCAATCAACGCGTTTTTTAATAAGGAGCAACTTTTTCCTCTGCGAAAATTGTCGCTCTCCACTGCGAAACGAAATAAAAATAGTTAAAGTTGACTGGTATAATAGGTTAGGAAACCTGTCATACAGTCTAAAGATAGCGACATGAGTACACTCTGTGGTTACGTGCGCATGCTCTGTAGTTGCATGCGCATGTAAAAAGTGCACTAATTTAAAATCAACACTTCTCTCTGTACTTATGTCATTTAGAGTTCAACGATAAATTAATATATTTATTAAATCTTCACCTTACTAAATAGATGAGTCTCTAATATACTAAAATTAATGAATACAAAAAAGATTATTATTATTATTATTATTATTATTATTACTAAATTCCAAAAGATCTAACAAAGACACAAAGATCCAGAACCCCCCCAACTAAACCAACGAATATTGTACACTCATTAATTTAGTAAAGCAGAAAATTTTAGTACAATTTTAATAAGATAAATTAAAAAAATTAAAAATAAATGTGGAATCGATAGTTATGATCTTTAATTGTTAATAATTTTTTTTATGACGAAACTGATAAGTTAATGACATTTGATGAAAGATATTTACCTTATTTAACCTTATATTTACCTTATAAAATTGTACTAAAATTTTCTGCTTTACTAAATTAATGAGTGTACAATATTCGTTGGTTTAATAAATAATAATGCCTCAAACATATGTACACACACACACACACACACACACACACACGGGTGGTGGTGCGAGGGAGGCCTTCGGTCCCCCCTCTCCCGCACCCACCCCGTCCACGTTGCGCGTGGAGAGTTGCGAAACTATCCGGAATCTTGATAGGTTTCCTAACCTATTATACCAGTCAACTTTAACTATTTTTATTTCGTTTCGCAGTGAAGAGCGACAATTTTCGCAGAGGAAAAAGTTTCTCCTTATTAAAAAACGCGTTGATTGAGTCTATTTTTATCGAATTCTAAGGCGGAGCCCCTAAACTGGATAATTACCGAATAAAGAAATAAGACTCATACTTAAAAATTTTCTAAGTAAGATTTATTAAATTCGTACATGATTAAAGCAGTCCTCAATATTTTTATTGTAAACAAATATATCAGTATAATTTTAGTGCAATTTTGCAGAATAATTTATATTGAACTTTTTACGCTTGTGTCCTACAGGGAGAAAAAATACAAACCATCTTGAAAGCTGCAAACGTTAACGTTGAATCTTATTGGCCAGGGCTTTTTGCCAAAGCCTTGGAAGGTATCAATGTTAAAGAATTGATCACTAATATTGGATCTGGTGTTGGTGCTGCACCTGCAGGAGCTGGAGGTATGTATATTTTTTTATCGCGAAGATATTAACATTATAAAACTCAATCTAGTGTGACTTATATATATGACCTACTTATAAAATATAGCATATATGTATACAAAGTGTATCAGAACAACCATCTCAGATGTTTTTTTTTTTAAGTACATATTTTTGAAAAAGATGTTTCATACAAAGTTAGTAGGGTTTTATAAGGCACATTACATGGCAATATTATTAAGACTTGGAAGTGTTGTCAAGGTTACATGGAAGTCAAATTTAATTTTTTAAATAGAATCCCTATTTCTCATTACATATTCTTGTAGCCTATCTTGACAGCTTTGCAAAACACTATAATAAAGTATTTTTCCATTAAGTATTTTGCAAGTTATGAGACCCGAAAGTTACAGTATCGCCGGATCACCGAGTCGACGGTAGTGCACGTGATTGTCACAACGCGGCGTATGCTGAGTTACCGCTATTCGAAAGAGTCGCCAGCGACTGTTATCTCTTGTTATCCCTCAATTTCTTTTCATTTTCGCGCGCAACATACACAACACACATAAAGAGGTGTAAATCCAACTGTGCAACCTCCACGCGGTATGCCTTGAGTAATGCCGGCAGTACTGTAACTTTTAGGCCTCATAACTTGCAAAGTACTTGATAGAAAAATACTTTATTGTAGTGTTCAAGATAAGCTACACAAATGCAATGAAAAATGGGGGTTCCATTTAAAAAATTAAATTTACCTCTAATATATATAATATACACCCTGTGTATATATATATATAGACAGATATATATATATATATAGACAGATATATATATATATATATATATAAAGTGTGATTTAAAACAATATTGTCCTCTTCATCCACCGGACTAGAAAATGTTGCTAGTACGGTCAGTATCAGAGGAAAAAGAAAAATGAAAACAATAGCTCTTTTGGTTTTATCAATAAAGATATAACTCAGGTTTGGTTTACAACATTATAATTTTTAACATAATTTTGGGCTTTCTAGCACATGTTAAAATATAAATATCTCTTCAAGAAATATTTCATATTAGAAAACAAAATATCTTTTTAAGAATATCATATGAGAAGTAACATATGTATTGTGATTTTACAGCTCCTGCTGCTGCAGCACCTGCCAGCACAGAAGCTGCACCAGCTAAAGAAGAAAAGAAGAAGGAAGAACCTGAAGAGGAATCGGACGATGATATGGGCTTTGGTAAGTGCATCAAATTTATAACATTTAAT